ATCTTCCGAGCCACGTTGTGTCCTGCAAAACAAAAAATTGCACGCATCCGCTATCTCATAAAAGCGCCGGAGTTGCGAAAGTGAAGCTTTCCAAAAGTTGAAGTTATGAAAACGACGGTTTCGCGCGAGACTTCCACTGCAAGTTGCAGTTGCAAAAACCGAGGGCTTCCTTCGTGAAAACGAACCTTTGGTGCAAAACTTCCTTCCAAAACATTCCAAAAGTGCAAGCTGAAGTTGTGAAAACGAGAAGTGTGAGAGTGTGAGTGAAGGAGTGGGTGATAGTGGGTGAGTGAGTACGTGCGGACGTGGGTGCGTGCTTGCGTGCGTGCGTCGGTGGGTTATTGAGTGAGTGAATGAGTCAATGAGTGAGTGAGTGAGTGAGCGAGCGAGCGGGTGGGTGACTGAGTGTGCACTTTGTGCATGTGCGCACATCGGTTAGAAGAACGTTTAAGATGTATAAATCAAATGCACCTGCATAATATATCATTATATATATACGTATTGTGGCTATAATATATGTATTTATATATATTTGCCATTGATGCTTTTTTCTTGTTAGGCACTGACTCTAATGACCATTATCAAGTGATATCATATTATATCTGAGAGTTCTGTGCTAAAAATCCTGATTTGAAACTATTTGAATAGAATCACGTTTTGGGCAAGATTGTTTATTCGTTTTGCTTCTTTTCTCTTTGTTGCTTCCTGCCGAAAGGCATGAACATGAAAATGGAAGTACGTCATAGTACGTCCCGATGATCTGACAAGCACTAGAATGCTTCCAGTCGCCCAAACAAAATGTCCTCTTTTCCGCTTCTTCCTTCTTCTTCTTCGTCTGTGACGGTACAATGGTAAGGCTGGAAAGGGAACTCCAATGCAAAACTTAGCAAATTGAATTTACCACGCCAGACGACCAACCCTACTTACTACTTTTCCACCTAACATGAGTGTACGCACGTTGAGACCTCTCCCGGCCTTTTGCTCCTTTTCAAGTTCATGCTGAATGACATCCTGAAAGGCTGCAGGTTCGATGCACAACTGCCATGGCTCTTTCCACATGCCCACATCACGACTCAAAGTGAATCAGCTCGGACCCAAAGAAGCTTTATATGGATCAAATTTGATATGTCTCTTGGTATGTATCATGTATAGCTATATCATATAATAATACATTATGTGCGTGTTTATATATATATGTATACACTATATATAACACATTAAATATGTGTGTGTGTGTCTAATATTGGGGTCTCATTCCAACCCAAAGCTTCACCCATGATGCTGCCTGCGCAGGATGGTGGAGCATGCACAACAGTCCAATGAGCATGGAGAAAACGACTACGTGGGTCAGGTTGAACCTGGCAACCATCAAGGTGGACACTAATCCCATCCCTATCCATCCCGAAAATTCATATTAAACACCTCCATTGTATGCTCCCGAAATCTCCCAAATATGTGTAAATTGCCTATTAAACCACAACCGTGGTGACTCTGTCGGGATCTGTCGGCTGCTTAAGACGAAGGGATTCTCCTCTAAGGCTCCAACTCGTACTTCTTTTCAGGAAATGGAAATAGCCTGCAACACGTTCAGTGGAATATCTTGCAAATAATGTGTATGCAAAATGTATACTTGTAACAACCAAAAGCATAATCAACAACCATGGTAATCCTCAAGACACGTCAAGTATACACACACACATATATATATAATATGTCTGTATGTCTGTATGTATGTCTGTCTGTCTGTATGTATGTATGCATGCATGGATGTATGTATGTATATATGTATGGTCGGTGCCAAAATTATAGAACGGAAGTTGAGGAGTACGAAGGTACGGTTATTTACCGTACCCTGTTGTTCCACAATTATTTTTCCCTCGGAAGGTATGAAAAAAAAAAAAAAAAAACTTATCTTAACTTAAATTACTCCTATTTTTTCATCGGTCTATAATTCTGGTTTGTTCTATAATTGTGTTTTCCCCCATTTTTTCCACATTTACCAGTTTCGTTCTATATTTTTCCGTTCTATGATAAATTTTGCGTAAACCGTTCTATAATTATGTACCGTATACAAATATGCAATACCGTAGATATCATGCCAGTGCCAGAAATTATAGAACAGGATCCGAATCCGCGCGGAATCGGCTTCCGGAGGAGTACGAAGGTACGGTATTTTACCGTACTTTTGTACTCCTAATTTCGTTCTATAATTCTGGCATCTCCTGTATGTATGGATGGATGGATGGACGGACGTACGTATGTACAATATGCATTACACACATCTACACTGACACACTATACGAGCTGCGACTTTCCTGAGCAATCGCGGTGCCTTACCACGACGCTGGCGATCTGGCTGAGTTTCTTGGTCTCTCGCTGCACCACACCTTTATAGAGCTCACCCAGCCTTAGAGCAAGGATAAACGGACATTCAATGGATCGGTTCAAGGGACAACTGGAACCCTGATCTTGACCACCAAATTTTAGAATTTCCTGCAAATTTGGCCTTCAATCAATCAATTCTGGGAGACACTCCTGATATGTTGATGATATTGACAGAGTGGGGGATCACAAGAACAGTGACCTCAATCCAAAGTTGCATCCTATTTTGATACAACACAATCCGGTGCTTTGGCGAGCCATTGTTCGGTGTCCCAGGTCCGCATCCTAGTACCCGACAAGAAGAGTCCGAAGCCGCTCACGAACATCAGGAAGGTGGTATAGACTACACCATCCATCAGCCGCGCAAAATTTGCCTCGGTCCAGTGCAACAAATCAAGGTTTGGGCGTCTCCAGTGATGTCTGTACGCTTCAAGATTTGAAGATTCAGCAACTTCACCGGGAGCCCACCATCTGGCGCGCCATGGCTGCCCTATGCGCACCGCGCCTCAGCCCACCTACCTAGAAACTTGCGGCGGCGATGTCTGAACACATTGCGGCACCAGGGACCTCTGCTATAGATATGGGTTTGTCCGAAAATTGGGTGGACACAAAATTGCAATTCAATTGGAACATGATGGAACATGATGACAAACCAGTCGGTATCCATTCCATTTGGGCGTGCTAATTTCAAACAACCCCATATTCTGTCTGTTCAAGCACCCCATATTCTGTCTGTTCAAGCCCTTTAAGCAACTAACTAGTAACCAGATTGCCAGTGAGGGGGGCGCCAGATTTTGAGGTCAAACATCTATTGGGAAACTAGCTCCAAACTAGCGCTAGCGTTGGGAAAAACAATTTCTGGATACATGAAGGACTGTATAGGACTGTGCTTCTTTATGACATGTAAAGACCAAAACTCACTTCTATGTAATGTGACCTCCGATGCAAACAAACACAAATTACAAGCGTTTAAACAGCGGATGTCGTATCGTTTTTTTTGGGGACTATTCCGGAAAAAACGACCCGCCAAGGGAAAGCTGCAAATATTCGTGACCTACCTCCCCACCAAAAATGCGAAAACACAAGAAACTCAGCTAGCGAAGTTTAATTGCTAATCATTCATAATTGTATCTGTATAAGCAGATCTTTCCTGTCCATTGCAGCTGCTACTTGGACTTTGGAGCCTCTGAAAACCCAATATTTCACCTTCAAAAACATAAGGGACAACCATTCCTTAGATTCTGGGTCCTTTATGGTCCGTTCGGAACAGCATATGAAATTCTAAGTGATAAACATTGGCCAAACAAGAAAGTAATAAAGTATCAGGACGCCAAACCCTCTTGCAATAGAATTGGCAAAAACCCTGTTTTTCCAATAAAGATCAATAAAGCATATACGATCTTGTGACCTTGTGCCAATAAAGCAATCTCATCACTAGCAGTTTTGCAAATGAAAGTAGAAGAAATCTGAATTTGCTTGAAGTGTGTATTTCTGGCTCCAAATGTGGATGGGCTCATATTGTGGATAGATATGTAGGGATAGAAATTTAATGCAATCTAAATAGGAGAGAGAGATGGAGACAGAGATGGAGATAAGGGTAAAGATATCAAATGCAAACACACTCCGCGCACACACCATGGTTTACCTGCGAACCATCTATTGGACAGGCCTCGGCGAAAAAAAGCTCCCAGCTCGGCTCATTTTTTTCCATCTGGACCAATTAATCCAGGCAGAAAATGCGCGATGAAATGTCTGCCACAAGCCATTTCACTCCTTCCAAGAGGCCCTCAGAGGCACCAGGGAGGGCAGACCATCATCTACTGGCATAAAGTGCAGTTGTGGTGAATCTAATTTTACTTGTGTAACCATGGGATTTCAATCCCCATAAACTGGGATGCAACTCTCAAACTTATTTTATTTTGACACAGCAACTTGAAATCTTCCTCCAGATCCTGCCTCCCCGGTGTAAGCCGAACATGCCAAAATGCACCTCAGGGCAAAGACTTGCAGAATATCCACGGCCACGGGCCAAGCCACAGTGTCAAACCACTCGCTCCCTCCATCTGAATCCCCATCATTGAGATGTATGGAACTTATGGAATTCTATGGATATACAACGATGTTGGGAACCTAATCTCATCATGGGATCAGGTCAAGGTGGGCTTCCTTATACTTCCTTGACACCCACGGATGCCATGCGGTCCCTATGGTCCCTGGTCTCGAGGCTCCTTTGAGGCACCGGACCAGTGGCGTCGCTTGATCTGCTCCAGCTGCAAGAAGTCTCGAATCTCAGCGGCGCTCATGGCACCTGGAAGATCCTGTTTATTGGCAAAGATCAGCAGCGTCGCACCTGGCGTCTGAAAACTGACCATTTTATGGGCGAAATCGCCGTATGTTTATGTATTTTTTGGGGAGATCGTTTTAGATCGTTGGTTGCGAATGGAATGGGAAAATGCAAAAAGGATGCTTTCCACTGGTGGGTTTGCGTCTTGGACATTAGGCACCCCGTGTGTTCTTGGCTGTCACGTTCACAGAGAGCTCGGCTGATTCGACTGTACACAGCGTTGATATCTGCATGCTATGCTGTTTCTGAAGGGGGCATTAGATCTGTTTCCTCTCACCAGCACCTGCCAAACGTTCTTCCTGAAGAAGTCTTTCCTCAGCAAAGAAACTTGGCAAATGATGATGACCCAATTCAGATTGGAAGCTACTTTGACGGCGTTGGGTCCAACAGCAAACATGTATACCCTCTGGTAGACTAACATGGCCATGGAAATTGCCCATTCATACATCGTTTACCTCTAAAACATGATCGTCCAGTGCTATGTTGAATCGTTGAGTTGATAGATGTTGATAGAGGGTAAGTACCAACTGACCAATTTGACCAATTTGACCAATGCAATCCAAGAAACCAACTCCTGTCGGCAGTCCTCCAATCGCTGTCGGTCGGCCGAATCCACGACCCAAATCAACCCATCCGTGGCCTCGAAGTAATTCCTTCCAGCTGCACGCGCTGCCAGAAATCTGCCATGAAATCTGATTGAAAAAGACAATACCAGCCAACACACGTCCAAATGATATTTGAATATATTATTATATATATATATATAATTATATCATGTTTGAATCATTTTGAATCTGTTTGAGGACTGACACACGAATAACGAACCGATATGGGTTTCATACATAGCGCTCTCATGGGTCACTTTCCGCACTGTCTGAGTTAGGTCCTCCAATAGCTTCGGATAGTCTTCTGCCCACCAACGTCCCAAATGTTCAGCTTATACCCTTCGTACCTAGAATGTGCCATGGTATGCCATGGTCAAAGCAGCAGAACCACAAAAAGTCGTGGCAGGGCACTCCACAGTTTTGATGTTGAAGCCCAGCGTTGGGGAAATGGTGTCTACCGGCTCTCCGTTGAACCTTGGAAAGGCAGTGAAGACTGTTGCATGAATCCTCTGTCAAACTGAGATTTCGACTTCTTCAAGATGGTCGTCTTGCCTGGCACCGGGGGCACAAACATCATGTTTTGCAAGTGAGACACATCCGCTACAACGCCTGAGCAATTTGAGTTACACTGATCGAGGGTTCTCAGTTGCACAGCGCCATGAATGTACATGTACCAACTGCAGGCGGTGCTCATGCCCATTTGCAACTACCAATCATTCTGACCGGGCAATGAGACTCCTGCCATCTGCCTGCGTTGTCCAGGCCCAACATCAGCAGTCGGATCTCCTTCTCCTCCTGCTTCATCTTCCTGCGACGCGGCCAGGGAGCAGGCAGCTCTCCAAGAAACGGGAACGGAAGCCACGGCGAGGAAAACACCGCCACCTCAAGATCTTCATCAGCCCCATGGCTGCTTTGAGCTGATGCACTGAATTCAAAAATTGGATCTATCCCAAGGTTCGAAACTCCAAGACGCTGGGCTCATGCTGATTGAGAACCATTGTGGCACAAGAAGTGAATCTGACCAGTGATCAATTACCTTCAATCAGTAGTCCCCGACCCATTGCCGCCTTAAATCGCCCACCAAGTTGAAGGAGCATCTTGATCGTATTTTCATGTTTGATCATGTTTGATCTTATTTCATCTTACACTGCTGTCTACGTGGTGTGTGACCAACTCAGACTATTTTCTCTGAGCTGAAAGAGTGCTGAAATGGCAGACCCGTGCAACAGAACGGTCATGGTTAAGTGGCACTAACGAAAGGCACTTGACCATCCGATTCCAAGCTGAAATGTGGGCCAGTTGTTTCGCTTCATTTTACAGCACGTTTTTGAGAAGCGTTTCAAACCCTCTGTCATTAGTTTTCTGTGTTGTTTAGTAGGGATAATCTAAAATATGTTGGATAGAAATGATAGAAAAAAAAAACATCTATAAAATCACGAACCAATGAGGGTTTTGCAGCCACTGCTCATCTGAATTTATCCGAAGGGGACCTTGTGCCCCAGCATAGCCAGAAGATCCGTTGCACGCTTTCGACCCAGCGCACGCCCTAGGCCACTGAGAATGTGCTGGTTTGGCACGAGCCCAGCCTGAATCAGCAATGGCATCTCATCACCAATCATAGCTATTCAAAACTCCTCCCCATTCTCTTAGCGCCAACAATTTTCTCACAGAAATTTGAAACCTCCAGTTGACCCAAGTCGCACCCCATTGTATAAAGATTCACATCACCCCGGGCTCCCTTGGCCTCCCACCCTCCCCCCACCGCGCCCTATGCCCCAGTCCTCCAGGGCGTTTCGGATGCATCGCTCCGCGCGGGCAGGCTCCTTGGGCTTGGCCGTGGCATAGGCCAACAGCTGGGCGTAGATGAAATACTCGTTGGGCCGCTGGCCACTCTTCTCCATTTCCACCGCAAGGTCCTTTTGGCGGGAGCATAGATTGTAGGACAGTGGCAACGTTGCCGTTGCCGACTATATATGCGGTGAGACGGGTAATACATTTACAAATATTTTATGTCTATGTATATCAACATGTACCTATATCAATACATATACCGTAGTACCGCACAAGGCGGTGGCGGAAGTTTCAAAAATAGGACACCCGTAGGAGAGGTGAGTTGTTGTGATGCAGGGATGGCAGAGCGAACTGATGGACTGCAAGGTGGTTGACGCTCTGCGTCTCTCTCCCTCTCTCTCTAACTCTCTTTGTCACCTTCTCACCTTCTCTCTGTCTCTCTCTATATCTCCCTCTGTCTGTCTACCTGTCTATACAGTTGTAGTTGTAGGTGTGGTTGTGGTTGGGGTTGTAGCGTAGTTGTGCTTGTAGTTGTAGTTGTAGTTGTGGTTTTAGTTGTAGTTGCAGTTGTGGTTGTAGCTGCAGTGTAGCATCGTCTAGTGCAATGTTGTATCCTGATTATATATGTATATAGTAGCTAGGATCGCTATTGTGCCAATTTTTTCCAAATTATTCAGGGCCCCAGCAATGTTTGGAAGGTTCACTATTGGGGCAAGAAATCTTGGGAAACCAATTTGATGTGTACAAAGAAGGTTTGTGTGAAAAAAAATGAACATGTTTCTTCTGAGAAAAATTGTTGGTCTCCCTGTCCAAAAAAAAATCAAACCGCTTATTAAACCCTTATTAAAGAACAGTTTTTCCACAAATTTCCAAGGCACTGGGCCATGAGAGGACCCAGTTCACTTTAGTAGTCTTGTTCTCAGGGTTCATAATTGCAACAAACTTTTCCAGAGCTGATCCTGGAGCCAAGAGAAGAAAAACAATTTTTACAAAAACAGTTGAAAAGTTCAAAGCCCAAGTCTTTCCCAAAAGAATCAGACTGTTTATTAAACCCTTATTAAAGAACCGTTTTCCACAAATTTCCAAGGCACTGGGCCATGAGAGGGTCCAGTTCACTTTAATAGGTTTGTCATCAGGCTTCACAATTGCAGCAAGCTCTTCCAGAGCTGATCCTCTTCCCCTTCCTCTTCCTCTTCCTCTTCCCCTTCCTCTTCCCCTTCCCCTTCCCCTTCCTCTTCCTCTTCCTCTGCCTCTCTCTCTCTCTCTCTGTTTTTCTCTTTCTCGTTCTCTCTTTCCCTTTTTTTCTCTTTTAAGGTGGAAAAGGTAATGCAGTCAACATGCACCCCACTCACCACAAGGTACTACAAGTACTACAAGTATCACAAGTTCATCCGCCAAAAAGAGGTTTAATTAGATTTCAATCAGGGTTCAGATAAGGGAGGAGGAGTTGTGCAGAGGATTTTGATACGTACAAGACAACTACAAAATTCGATGCATGGTACCTTTTTGCGGCTACAAAATACAGAACACAACTTAATTTGACTCGGAAAATAATTCAAACTATGCACTACAAAAACCCATGCATCTGAAGTTGAAAAATAACTGAAAATCGGAAATGCTAACATGAATTTTCCCAATAACATTTTGTAGTTGGGTCTATGCCATCCAAAGTTCCGACTAACATAATTTCAATAAACATTTTGTAGCTGTCACTGATATACAAGTACAAATACAAAATACAAATGAGGATTTGAAAGGAAACAACTACAAAATGAATGTAAATACAAAAAAGTTGGCCCGACTCCACTTTTTTGTACAAAACGACCCCTGGCTGGCAATCTGTACTGTAGCCCAAGTCCTCCCCTTTATGTAGCTGTTATTTGATCCCGGTAGATTTCAACCGTCGCCAATTGAAGTCCTTACTGAAATGCGGGGTGGTATTTTTTCTGGGGGCGATTTTTTTGGCACACAACTTTATAGAGGGTATAGCTATTGTTTCAGGGGGGTACATACTAATCAGGACGAAACAGTAGTGTAGCTGTAGTCTGGTGTAGCGCAGGGTAGTTGGAGTTGGAGTTGGGGTCGGAGTTGGAGTTTAGTGTGGTGTAGTGTAGCTGAAGCTTAACGCAGTGTAGCGAAGTTAGAGTTGCAGTCGCAGCTGTAGTTGCAGTCGCAGTTGCAGTTGTAGCGCAGTTGCAGTTGTAGGTGCAGGTGTGGGTGTAGTGTGGTGCAGTGTAATGTAGTTGAAGCCTAGTGTAGCGCAGTGAAGTTAAAGTTCGCAGTTGCAGCTGTAGTTGTAGTTGCTGTTGCAGTGAGTGTAGTTGAAGTCTGGTGTAGAGTAGTGTACAGTAGTTGAAGTTGTAGTTTGTAGGTGCGTGCACTTTTCCAACATCGCAACCTCCCATGCTCATGAACAAAAATGGAAAAATGGCAGGGCCGAAGGGAAAAACATGCCCAGCTGATGGTCCTGCACTTCGTGCGAGGAAGGCTCAGTCAACAGGCAAAGCAAAAAAGGCCAGGCCAAAGCAAAATAAAGAAGGAAAGCAGGCCAAAAACCAAGCCACACGCAAGCTGAAACGCTTAAGGCTTCCAGCTTCCGGGACAGAACACCTGCCGAGTGAGCAGAGTGGGTATCAAAAATTACAGCGCAGCCCAGTTCAGAAGACGACAGCCAGCAACAAGAGGGCAGTCATACGGTTAGATCAAGGGTCAGCCAACGAGGGGAAGCAACAGAAGATTCAGTCAGGCGGCGGAGCACTGCCCGCGCGTTTTCACGTTGAAGCGCCGCTGACAATGCCTGAAAGAGTTGCTCTGCTCCTTCGCCTGCTGGCAGCCCAATCCGAGCTGCATGCAAGGCCCCAAGTTTGCGAAAAGTGGTGAGGGCGGTGGGCCTCCAAAAGTGGTCCGCGACCGTCAATTTTTACGGTACTACTTTTGACTTCGAAATGTGCTTCGCGCCACAACTGCGTGCATTTGTTCGCCATCGCGGCCTCCAAAAGCGGTCGGAACATGTTTTTTTTAGCATTTTGACATCGTCGAAATGTGGTTCGTGCCACTACCGTGCACTTTTTCAACATCTGCACTTCCAAAAATGCTCCGAACCTGGTGTGCTTTGCACATTTTGACTTCGAAATACGCTTCGCGCCACAACCGCGTGCACACAACGGCGTGCACTTTTTGAGCGTCTCAGCTTCCAGAAGTGCTCCGACCCTGAGGTGTCTTTAACGTTTTGACTTCCAAATCTGCTTGCAATTTCTGATTTCACATCTGCCCAATGGCTCCGCACCCGTCGCTTTGGCAAGCCTACTTGTCGACCCTCCGGAGCCACAAAACATTGGACAACACAGTCTTTCGCAACTTTTCTACCTTTACGCGCACCTGTATCTTCCTTCTTCTGACTCTTTCTCTTCTCTGATCTTCTTTCTTCTTCCTTTCTTCTTCCTTTCTCTTCTCTGGCTCTGCCCACCTCTGCTTTTCCATCTGTCCATATTGTCGGAAGTTTGACTTCTAAACTTCCTTCGATTATGTTGGGTATTCAATATGTTGGATTCGCAAGTTGGATATACAATGATATACAGTAGTTTCGTGATTGGAATCTTTTGAATTATCGGACCTGAAAGGAGCTGGCAAATTTCCTCCAAAGTTTGGTTCATGCAATGCTGACCTGTTCCTCCTTGGATTTGTCAAAAAGCCTGGAGTGACACACTTCTCTTGAACAGCTGCGGTTGAAGCTGGACTTTCACCCATCAGAAACGAAGTTTTAAATCAAAAGAAAGTTGGAAGTGCCAAGGCTGCGGTTCCGCGGTTGGGTCCTCCACTTCCTGCCAGTGCCCCTTGTATGCAAAGGGCCGGGCCAGCGCAGAATAGGTCACCACGTGAGGTTGGATACCTCTGGCTTGCATGCGCCTGAAGATGCACAGCGCCATCTCAGTATCTCCGGCTTTTCCACAAGCATCAATCACCTTGGATTTGCTCACCATGGCCCCCCAAAAAAAAAACTGGTCAGTCTCCAAAATAATGTATAGAATTGTATAGATTGAACTGAGTCAAAACAAACACCACCGACTCGGCAAAGTAACACTGCTGTAGACGATGGCGTCACTTTGTAGCCCGGCATCTTCCAAACGTTCCAACCACTGCACTGCTTCCTCCGCCTTCCCGGCCTTGGCGCAGGCATTGATGACGGAGCTGTAACTGCGTACGTTGGGTGTCCTTGGATCTGCTCAAGATGGCCCTGGAATTTGCATATGACTCGATAGTAGGCTCTATAGACATCTATATACCGTATATACCTAACATATTCTCACTTGATTTTTGCCCAAGTAGTACGTCAAGCAAATGGAAAATACACGAAATACATCCAAAAAAAAAAGATCTTCCAGCTCCAAGTTTCACGCCCATCTCCAGCATGGTGTGATGCCAATACTCAGCCCGTTGCAGGTTGGAGGCCTTGGCACAGGCGTTGATCACCGCCCCAAAGCTCACCACGTTGGGTTCGATGCCACGCTGCAACATCTCCTCATAGCTTCAAATATCAGACATCCCCTGGAAAATTTGAAAATGTACGGCTTATGATAGTTTATGGCTGCAAAATGCTATAAAAACCAAAGATAAATGGGCATATCACGGTGATACAGTATCACTTGGGGAGAAGACCTGACCAACTGATTTTGCTGTGGAGAGAAGCATCGGTTATCCAAGCATACGTATGGACATGGTGATTCAATGGGGGTTTAAGCAACTAACATAGGGATTGATGGAGATACACATGGATATATAACGTCGTATACCCACAAAATGGGGACATATCGTATACTGGAATGATCTGGAATGCCTAGTTTTATGTGAAGAATGTGTATGATGATCAACCCATCAAATTTTGGGGCACCCTAGTTTCAAGCAAGCTCACATAAGTGCGTATGTATGATTATATTATATATATATATCAGGGTTCCAGGGTTCCGTTCTTTCCGTTCTGCTCCCGTTCTGCTTTTGGCTCAGGACCTGCCTGTTTCTGGTTGCAATGCCCCAGAACTTCCACTAAGGTCCCCAAACGGATTAAAGCGGGACGTTTGGGCTTTGGACTGGCAAGCATGTGCTAAATACCAAACATCTGCCAAACTCCCAAAGGTCATGAACCCTTCTTTGGGATACAGTCAATCCCCCACCTGCTGGAGAGTGGACCACATGGACAAACCCCAGAGGTCCTGCATCCACTTCTCAGCTCTCTCCAGATCTCCGGCCTTGGCACATGCATCGATGAGACTGGCAAAGGTGGTGACACTGGCAGGCAACTGCCGCTGCAACATGTCTTCCAGCCACCCTTCAGCTGCTTGGATGTTCCCCTTCACACCGCAGGCGTGGATCAGGGAGTTGTAGCTCACCGTGTCCTGAGGTGTGCATTCCTTCCATCTGGCTATGGCATGGTAAATTGTCCAGGGCTATAGTCATTGTCTGGGGATATGCTGATGGCGATCGTTCAATCTCCGAACATAGATCAACTGCAGCTCTTGCACTCATTTGTGAGGCTTTTCCAAAAATCAACAGGAATTTAAATTAAGCCTAGCAGCTGGCTCCACCCCCATTTCCAACATTTTGCTCTGCCAGTATTGTGCCCTGGTCTCATCCCCTTTCCGTGCAAAGGCATGGATCACCGTGGCAAAGCTGATGACGTTGGGCTGTAGACCTCCATCCAACAGCCGTTGCAACCAGGACTCGCTACTCTGGGGATCACCGGCTTTGGAGCAAGCGTCCAGCATGGTGTTGTAGCCTACATGGACTCACTACTCACTGATAGCGTCAATTGGGAATATCATTCCATTGGACCAAAAAAAAAACGCACACCTGTGATTAAACATTGATCTTCTGGATTGCCACCAGATCAAATCCAAAGCCCACGTCAATGATCACTTTTAATGCCTCAAATGGCATTATGAGTTGAGTACAAGTAACAGTAGAGATAAGTAAAGAGAGAGGGAGAGAATGGGAGAGAAAGAGCAGGAGAGAGAGAGAGAGAGAGTACTGCGATTTCCAGTTGCAGCGCCCACTTTTTGAATTTTTCTGATGGTCATTTTCGAATACTTGCACTCGCGTTAAGTCAACGCAGTTCGCGTAAAGTCGACGCACCCGCAAGGCACGACTGCATTCGGGTTATGTCAACACACCGCGTTAAGTCGACGTGCTTTTAGCAAAAGACAATGGGCACAGTACTCGATACCAGTGTCCTGATATGAAGGAAAAAAACCAGTCAATTCACCCCACACTGCACGCACACGATCAAAAACCTCATTGTTTACATTGTATTTCAGCGGTGTTTTCCAGTTTTCCAGAGCAAAATTCAACGCGCACCATGCGCACCGCGATGAATATTGAATTGCTAGGTATCTAGGACCAAGATCACGGAGCTACAAGCGCTGGAGTTTAGTCACCCGGGGTTGCAGTACAGTAAGTCATCCTCCCGCATGTGTACGCTGCATCAGTATATTAGTGGTAAGTCACCCGGCTTGTAAAAAGTCGCCCGGAAAAAAGGAAAACGCCATGTGCACGCTATGTTACAAGATCCTCGTGAAACAAGTTGAACAAAAATGTCTTGCGCACGCTGAAATGCGATTTTTGTTTGATGCTCAGCATGTTTGAGTTGAGAATCGATTACATGGAACATCACCAAATCTCATGGCCCACTTTATGGCTTAACCCTGTCAGCTGGAACATGCCTCTGCGCGAGTGCCGCGCGACTCCGCGCGAGGGCTGCGCTACCCTGACCAATCCCACGACCCCGCCAGCCCACCCCAGCCAGCCCACGGCGCACACGCTGCGCAACTCGCCCATCCAGGGAATCAGATGGAATCAACTCTCAGCATTGCCCATGTTGTCAACCACGTGCCTTGTAGCATGAAGACCAGCAAAGCCAGAAGAATTATGATCATGAGATATCATGAGTTTTGTGTTCAAACATTCCTGAAGATCAAAACACCACCTGCACGCCCACAAAAACTAAGCTTCAGAATCCTTGGTTATGTAAGGTTATGTATGGTTATGTAGTCAACCATGCTTAAACATCCACTTACGCAGCAGCACACCACATCCAGACAACTTTCTGCAAGTCAAGACGACTTAACCCAAGTACCGTAAATTTGAAATCAGTTCGAAGGTCACGGAGCCGAAACATGCAACATAATAAATTCCATGCGCACAGCGATGAATTATGATGTTCTGACACACATGATGTTGATGATTATGGTCTTGGATATGCACAACCGCAAGGGCACACCAACCTGAGTCGACTTAAAACAAACTGAGTCGACTTAACTCTAGTATATGTATCTGGCCCGCAGCCGCGGAACATTTTTTAAAAACATTCTGTCACCCAGTGGCTGCAAAGTGTTGCTTTCCCCTTCTCCTCCATGTACTTCATCCATCCGTCAGCAGCGGCACAATTGCCATCCTTGGCGTGCGCTCGCAGGACCAGGTTGTAGCTAAGGGCATCGGGCAAGCCCCACTCCGTCTCGAATTTCTGCAGCAAGCGCACTAACCTTTTGGTCTCACAACCTGGGCCAAAGTCAACGGGGCAGGAAAGTCTTAAGTGGGGTCAGTTGGGTTCCTTTTCCCAAGCTTGAAATTGCACATCACACTTTCAATCGCTGCCAACCCCCCGCAAAAAAAAAGGAACAATCCAACCAGCCACCTTTCTGGAAAGCTCGATCCAAGTCCCTGTTGAGACTAACCTGTGCAGCTTTCAACAAGTCTCCCTTGCTAGAGGCTCCCCCTGCTGTCTTGGCGCCATCCGGCGCCCTGGGCGACTTGCTTTGCCAAAGGTACGCTTGAAGAGCCGCCAGTGCCAACACGGCACCCACGAACAAGTCCGCCGCGCTGCCAAAGAATTCCTTCAAACTCGTGGTCTGAAAGGAACCAAGGGTCCCAAACAGCAGTTGATCCAGGCCAAAAACCAAGACCACCAGTCCAATTAAGACTCCGAAATGGAGCGCTTTCTTGTGATTTGTCTCTGGCTTCGCCTTCTTGATATTTGCAATATCTGATGTATCAGCAGATCGGCTCATCTACGACCGAAATATGAAGGAACGGTATCGAAATCCGCAAGGGTTGCGGAACACCAAGGGCTGTCTTGCAATGGCACCCTAGAAGGGTGCTTGAGCTGAATCCCATACAGGACCGAAGGTTCATTTGTGAGCACATGCAACCAAGCATGCGCACATGATATGCGCACATGCAACGGACAAAATCCGCCGGCCCCGGCTGACAGCAAAGGCTAACACGCAAACAGAGCAAGGGGAGTGGGGAACAACCATTTTTCAGCAACAAGCAACAGCCAAGAAGCAACAAACCACAACGGCAACAACAACAACAGCTAAACTATGCTACAAATTAGGGAGCTGGAAACATCGGACAGGACTTCGGGACACAGCATGGCACATACCATGCAAGGACGACAGGGAATGGCCATCAGAGAACACAAGAGGGATGAAGAATGGGATGCCAAGAGGTCACATCTATGCCTGCAGCATAGCAAGAACAGGAAGGAAACTCTTCCAGGCATGGTGTCTGCGTCGTGCTGGGTTTTGCTTCCTACACCTCCATGCAACAATGGCATGATGAACTGAAGATTGGTTCTTGCGGATCCCCTCCCAGTTTGCTTAGACTCCAGAGTTGCAAGAAGTGTCGACATGGCGGGGATGAAGACCCCATCGACAAACATCTCCTATCCGTGGAGGAGATTTCTCAAAGTTCTTTGGATTTGGACATCCATCGCCAATTATGGCTCACGCACTTTCATCCCACTGACCCCTGACAGGCATAGAACGAGAGGCCCAAGATTGAAGCGTCGATACAATCCACTACCTACCAAAAATGGATTACAGTAATAGCCGGCTCATTACCCATGGAAATCCTATGTTTAGATATATACATACATATATATATATATTATATTATATATACATATAGCCAATCCCCCCCCCAAAAAAAAAACTGTTGTATCGAACCCTTGTCGGGGCGGATGGGTTTATTTGCCTCCCACCTGTTATATCGTCAAGTCAGTTCAGGCGATGATACCCAACCGTACCATCAGGCTCCCGTTAGGCAGCAGGGAAGGGGCCAGCGCCTATGATCAGATGATTGCCCGAACTGGGATGGCACATTGTACATATCATACATAACAAACACTACAAACATTGACAAACCAACAAACATCAAATTTCAAGCAACCAACAAATTGGCATGGTGAAACCAATCAAACCAACAATGGGACGACTGAAAACCGGTTATAATGCAGTCAAAATCGACCAAACATGGTCGTTCCTCTCATGGAACGAAAAGTAGAACGAGTTGATTGGTTCAAAGCACGTGATATATCTGTTCTGTAGGAAATTATGGAAATAACAACCATGCTAGCGTCCACAACATAGTTTCCAATCCGTAAATTCATGTCAAATAGAATGCTTAAAAAATACGTCGGGTTTCCTTTCGACAATTTCTGTGGTAGAACCTGTGCGAAAAAACAATACGGCAGCAGCGCGGAATTTTCTGCCAAAGAAAGAACGTTGAAACAACTACAAAGGCGTGGGGAAAAATGTCAAGGCGAGAGCTAGCTAGCTGAAAGAAGCCAGAGAAAACGTGGGGATGGGTCGAGGAGAACCGTGGTAAGAAGTTGACAAAATGAAGAATCGTACAAAAAATAATGGCAAAGAAGAGGTAAGAACAAAAGAGAAGATTTCTAGAAGAGCTTGTAAAGAACAGAGACAAAAGCAAGAAGGAAATTAACAAAATTTTAAGAATAGGTTGCGAAGAAAAGAGGTTGAAAAAGGTTAAAAAGTTAAGAAAAACTGAGAAGAGTTAAGAAGAGGTGAGACAGGTGAAGAGGGATTGATGAGTCAGAAAGAAGTGAAGAAATTTGGGGCGTTATTCCAACACCTGTAGGCAAGCTTATCCTTCACTCCTACAAGGGAAGGCGAAAGGTCTTCCTAGTGGGGTAAAAACTTTGCTTTCCGCTAGGCACACCTAAGGTACGCCTAGGTGCGCCTACCGCCTACCCATGCACTTCCGGTTTACAATGGAACTCCGGCTCCACAACTAATGCTTGGGCACAAGGATTGCATAACCAAAAAATCCGAGCGCGCAAATTACCACGGAACTCCGCATCCAGCACAATCCTAGATCATAGGGAGAGCTGTGACAAGTTCAAAGTGCTGACTACTCTCTATGAAACTCCGCTTTTGAAGATCGCTCTCGCAGGCTTTGTCAATTCACAATGGAACTTCGGATTCACAAGTCGTCTTTCCATATCCAAGAACAAGTCCCACTTTGCAGATACCAATCGAACTCCGTGTCGGCCTCAACTGCAAGCGCTAGATCGCAATGTTCCCCACCGGACCCGAACAGCAAGCACAGGATCAGAGTGTTCCCAGCCGGACCTCGACCACAAAGAATCTTCGAAGATATAGCAGATAGAATGCCAGAAAAGAATGTCAGAAGATATGCCAGAACGTATGCCAAAACATATGGCAGAAAAAATGTCAGATACAATGCCAGAGAAAATGTCAGTACTGATGCCGCAAAGGATCCCAGATAGGATGTCAGAATAGATGCCAGATAGAATGCCGGAATCGAATGTCAGAAGATTATACCATAAGCCATATATTCTTCCAGATGCTATGTCGGAAACTACGACAAATAAGTGTCAGGGTGGGGATCACTCAAAGTAAAGTAATTTGCATTTTTGTTGCCGCTTCATGCTGCTTCCAGTCGGTACTGTACCTAAAAAATCATCTTGCTCCATCTATTTGCTTCTTTTCGTTTCTGACAATTCTCAACCGCTATTGGTTTTTGCTTTGTATGGGATACGCGTATTGTCCCCCAGTCGAATGGCAGATATGACAAATGTTTGAATCGGTCAAACATTTATCAAAGAAAAGATCGACCGTGAAAAAAACGACCGTGAATTCCGGCGTCAAGAATTTCTATGATTGGGTCAATCGTTCGGTTTAACGAAGGACTGGTGACCCCTCAAAACAGATTCGCTGCGCAATCCTTCGCTGCATTTTGCTCCTGAATTTTTATCTGTGGCTTCCTTTGGAAGCTACATGCTTCTGCAATCTTCTGCAATGACCAAGCTTGAACCGCCTGGTCAGGGTCTAGGTGTCGTCTCGCACACACACACACATGTGCCTGCAATTCAAACGAATAATGAAATTTGGACGCCTGTGGGCTTACAGAGGTTGGAAAAAATATGTCATATAAAGTTCGAATATAGGTTTAAAGAAAAACAACAGTATACATACACAATAAATAAATTATAATTAAATGTAAATATGCACATGTTGTGCTAGCATACAGCCAAGCAAGTGCCTCCCCAGAACCAATCGTGTTCATACATGTCTCATAATTAAGAAACCGCCGCTCACAAAAGAGGCATGTGATTCAGTGATACATAAATTCTGGCAATCCATGGTATAGGCAACTGGCAAATATAGATATATATATATATATATGTGTGTACATGATTGTACATGTATTATGATATAAATATATACATATATATATTATATAACATAATATGTATATTATATATCATATTATACATATATATCAGAGATTGTCTGAGTACATGTCACTTAAAATGGCTAGACTGAACAATCTGAACATTTTATGCCAGGATTACTGTCCAAAAATGTGACAGGAAAGATGTCCGCAGTAGATGTCAGGCTTAAGGTCAAACTACACGTCAAAGTACATGTCAAGAGAAATTTCAGAATATGTGTCCGAATGCATGTCACTGCATGTCTGGATCATGTTAAAAAAGTCCCAGGTCATGCAGGTCATGCCAGAGCAAATGTCAAGATGCGTGGGGGTCATGATCTTGTCGGAATGCATTTCTACGGTGGGAATCTCGTGAAGAAAAAATACTTTGCCTGTCCAATTACTGTGATCAAAAATGATAACGGCAATATCTGTTTGCAAACGCATTAGAGCTATTGCAAAAATATAGCATTTATAACAGCTTTGCAGCCCTGCCAGAGCCGTTGGTTCAGGTGCTCAGGTCAGTTGCCGTCCGTCTCAGAGGTCCAAGCCCGCCGACGCTCAGCCCTCAGTAAACCCGTGCTTGGCTGTGTTGTGATGCCGTGATGCTGACACAGTGATGTCACAGCTTCTCAGCTCAACATTCAAAAGCATCTTTCATGAAGTATCATAAAGTCATCAGTTTCTGAAAAGAATGTACACCTTGATGCCCCCTTCACACGTCCTTCAGTCTGAAGCTCTGCACGATTGAAACTTGTGTTTGAGAACATATGCTGGCAAGAGGCCCGAAACACTAGTTCGAGAATAGGAACTAAAAAGAACTAAAGAGAACTAAAGATAAGTAAAGATAACCAAAGTTTGGAGTGGAGATCTGACGCGTCGAGCCCATGGAGGCGGTGCGTCTTTAAACTCTTCGGGAAGCCCAAAAAGAGACACACCGAGGGCCGCGGATCCCTTGAGATGAGATGCCCTTGTGGGTCGCCCCGTGTCGCCTGCGACCCTACAAGGTTTGCTTGGGAGACATTGTGTGGGACACTGTACAGTATGGCCTTGGAAGACTCAGACACTCTTTTCTTTCACCCTGGTCTGCTGCAACAACGTTGAAGGCAATCTTGTACGTGAATAATCGCGAATAGGGGCTTGTGCCCAGTGATAAAATTGGAGAATCCTGCAGGAGACTGTTGCACGGCAGCCAGATCAGACTCTAATAGAACACTCTTGTGGCACTGTTGTGAGGCACCGTCGCGAAACAGTTGTGGCCACAGGATTGAAGGGTGTGCGAATAGTACCAAGTAGGCAACGTATAGGAACGAGATTTGCTGAAAAAAGAAATGCCAAGCGCCGATCTGCCCCGAAGATCCCCGAAGTCAATGGGGGGTTGGGTGAAGTTGGGGACCTGCGTCCTACAATGCCATACAAGTATCATTTAATAACCAAATCATACTAAATCATACTAAATCTATATTCGGACTTTTCCAAAAGCCAAGTGTGTGCAAATGGGTGACCAACGAAACTCTTATCTCCCGCAACCGCGCACCAACCCATGCATCGCACAGTTGCATTGTTCCAATTGGAGCTGAATCTGTTGAGGATCTGGCCGTGGACCCTGCAAGGTTGGAAAAGTAGAAGCATTTTATAGCATGTTTACATGACAAGGCGTGAACATGAACAATATGTGAACAATATTCATTA